ATTCGGCAGGAAATTGCTGAAATAGAGGAGGGCAGGATGGACCCCCAAATTAACCCACTAAAGGTAAGATGGCATACAGAGCAAGTTGCCAGCATCAGCTTAACCCTTGTGACGTACTTGAGACTATGTGAGCCCACTTCCTGGTCTTTCAGTATTATGAAAAATATCTGTGTGCAACAGTGAACACACGAACTTCTTTAAATTTGACTTTGTTAGAAACCTTCAACTTTTTCAAAATTTTAAGTCAGAGGTCTGGCCTTTGCTGTCAGAGCAAAGAAAGATATTTATGCAAGCTCATCATCTGTAATCTTCGACACCATCTTGAATGGAGAGATGCTTATCTATCTGGTTTAAGAAGGGGATTGACCTTAAAAATAACAGTAAACCACAGATTGAATTAATTATTTGAGCATCTGCTGCACAAAACTGCTATATGCTCAAGTTCAGTTCAACTCTTGTAATGCTGTACTGACTTTTTAAATACTGAGGGAATTTACTGAAAATCTGGAAGCATATTGAAACTCTGGGTAATATCTTCAGGCAAACTGAAAAAAATCCAGATACTGACTTGCTTCCTGCTTTAAATCTGCCCTTTTTTCCCCCAGATAAATGGTTTTCTCAAGAGACTGTCTGGACAGTAATTATTTATATGTAATAATGTGAAGGAGGGTTCACACTGGTATGTTCAACTGAATTCAGTAATTTCATATCCTAAATATGTCTTTTTGCTTGTAGATGTCGCCACATACTCTGAACTGTGTCACTTCTTCCAAGTGGGATCGTCCTTATTCCAGAGAAGTGGCAGCATTCCCACTGGTGGGTAAATAATGGGATCCTCGTGGTGTGGTAATACATAAATGTGCTTTCTGCTCTGTGGCTTTCTGGTCTGTTGGAAATGAAGTAATCTGGCAAGAATAAAAACTTCAGAGCTGTTTTTACTGTTGCTCAATTTTTATGTGTGTGAGCTCTGCAGTAGTTCTATTAGTTTTGTTTTTCAAGACATGGAAAAAAGATCTTAAAAAAAATTCTCAACACATGAGGTGCAAACTTGGATTTCTAAATCTCAGCACTTCAATATCGGATATTCCTATTGGAAACAGCCCATTCAGTTCTGACATAGTGCACCAGGGGCTCCCAAAACAAAGTCCCACATCCTGATGTTCAAAGCTCTGCTCTAAAGAACTTGGATGAGGGTTTCACAAGATACATGGTCAGCATGGGACGAGACACACCAATGGGAGCCTGCTACAAATAAAGGTCAGATTGGAGTTGGATATATCAGACTTCTTGAGACCACTGCATAAAATTGCTTCCACAATCTTAACAGCTAAAATATATAACTTTCCTCACCTAATACTGAATTGCATCTATTTTATTAATATGTATTGTTTCAAAGAGAAAGAAACCTGTGAAGTTTGCCACCTTGTTTTATATATTATAACTATATTGGAACAGCACAGGTTTTGGTAGCTCCCTCTACTTTTCTTTGGCTTCTATCTTCTAACTTCTAAAGCCAGTTATTCAAAGGGTCATAGTTTTATCTCATGACACCTGTTTCTTTGCAAGCATTTGTTAGAGGACAGGGTTACACTTTTTTGAAAATCTAAATATTCTTTTGACTGCCAACTCTATTAGACATGCCTATTAACTTGCAGGGACTGCAAACAGATGTGAAGCATGACTTCACTTAAAACTACTTTTCCAGCATTTGCCATTCTTAAAGCTTCTAATGTCTATTACATTTACGTAGTTTTGCTTGGTAGAAAAATTAAAATAGTTGCTTTTTCTTCTGTGCTTAGCCATTTGTGAAGCCTGAAAGCAAGTTTTGGCCCACAATTGCTCGCATTGATGACATATATGGAGATCAACACCTGGTTTGCACCTGCCCACCAATGGAAGCCTACGAATCTCCCTTTTCTGAGCAGAAGAGAGCATCTTCATAGGACTGCTTCCAGATGTCTGGATTTCCAAGTCCATCAGGATGGCCTTTTCCTCCCAGACCTGATAGGAGATTTATATACTGTGTATATTTTGGATAATCACCATATTTGTTAATTGAATCACTGCTCAGTTAAAATGTAAATACAATCAATATGCTAGGTGTAAACCAAACATGATTGTTCCACAGCAGATGATGTTGAAGTTGCCTTAATTCAGCATTTTGTCTGTTTTGTGCTAAAGTTTTAACAATTAATGCTCAATTTTCAAAGTGGCATGGAAGATATGGTTAAAAAAAGTAGAAAAGATGCAGTTGCATAAGGCAATAGTAATGAATATTAACTACAGGAGTAATTGTTTATATTTTGTAAAAAAAAAAAAAAAAAAAAAATGGAAGTTGCTTCATATATTACCACTAGCATTGCTAGTGTTAATATTTCATACTGGGTTTTTTTTTTTTACCTACCAATGTTAGTACTCTAATAAAATTGGTTGGAATTTTAAGTGTTGTCGTGTTCTAGATTTTAACTTTTCAGCTGGATTTATCCAACAGAGCAGTATGAAATTTTGAAGCCTAAGTTCTGACTTGTCAAAATTGCCACAGAGGTAACAGCTTCTACACAGAGCAAAATACTGGCAGAGATTAATACTGAAATCTCTGATTTTTTTAAAGAACAAGAATGATCATTTTTATGGAACAGTAACAAACTTAACTTTTTTTCTATATCACATCAATTTTTCCTTGTAGTTCCATCTAATCCTCTCCTCTTATTCCAGGGAAGGCATGAAACACCTTTTCTAACAGACTGTGAACTTCTCAGTATGAGTTACATCTTGTCTAACAATGTATTCTCCTTACACAGTTTCTCAAAACTCTTATTTTGGATACTCGCTTTGGTTTATACAGTGCACTCAACTTTCCTCGCTTTGTCATGTAAGTCTACAGCTTGTGTGAAAACTGATTCATAGCTTTATCTGCCACCCTCCCCAAATACCAACAGCACCCTGAGACCAGAGCCCTGCTGCTACACACAATGTCACATTCCATTACTCTCTGCAGCCAGAACGCAGGCCTTAAACAGGAGCCTCTTCCCATCTGTTCCCAGTCAAATCTCCATAAAAACAACCCTCTCACCGGTTACGCAGAGACCCCACGCATGCTATGAGTGAATGTGAAAGGACCCTGAGGCCGTGTCAGTGCAGATTCGTTTACGCCTGGTGTAAGCGAGCACCCCTGTAGAGACCAACTCGCTCAACCACACGACGCAGGACTTTGGTGGATGAGGAAGCAGGTACTGGGGTAACACTTGGGCCAGGGGAAGGACCGCACAGTTTTGCACCTTGCAGCCAGCAACTGCTCAATCCCTTCTTGAAGGTCACCATGCACACCCAAGCCTGGGAGCTTTCTCTGAAGTGACACAAGTGAGGCTGGTGTTCACGGCACTGTTTTAAGTACTGGACTTCTGTGTTCTTTATCGTGAAAGTTTTGGGACTCCAACTTCTTCATTACCTACCTTATGAATTCAGTGGTGGGCTTAAATTACACAAAGACACTGTGTATCGACATGATTGTGTAATGACAGGAGACAGGAATGGATTTCATTAAAGGAAGGTTAGGCCATAAGGTTAGTTTTCCTGTGAAAAGCTGCACCTAGGTACTAAAAAGTCTAAACACATAGTGAAGAAAATTAGCATTTTATACTCTAGAGTTTCTGAAAAGAGCGTCTTTCAGTAGCTACTGATACAGCACTGAGGGTACAAAAAATTGTGAAAAAACACTGCAAAATTGTAATGTGAGGAAAAAGTTTTTCTGGATTGCCGATCTAACTCCACAAAGTCTTGTCAAGCTACTTTAATGTCTGTTAAAGGTAGTTTCATGTTACTTGATTGTGTCTGCCATTGAAAAGATATATTGAAAAATTGGTTCGCATATTTTCATATTAAGCAGAGAACTCCCCATTGTTGACCTCAAACCGACAAATTTATCTCATTAATTAACTGCTAAAAGCTATCAAACAGAAAAAAAGCATTAAAAGGTATAAAATACTTAACAGCGCTCACTCATCAAGTAAAAAGCCACAAGTCTTATGTGCTTACTGCACAGATGCAATGCTTGTTACAAAGGTAAAATAAGGTCTGTTTTCCCCATAAATTACTGAGCTAGTATTCTGTAAAACACAGAAGTTCAACAGGATATAAGAATCTGTCTTCTATAAGAATCTCTTTTAAACTGTTATGCTTATTGGTATGCTTAACACTAACACCAATTCACCTACTCAATAAAGGCTGAACCCTCATTCTAGTAAGCACGGAAAAAGCTGAGGAGTTAAATCTTTCAAAACTGTTCAGCAACGCCTGTTTTTTTTGTTATATGACTAGAGAGATAGTACCAGCAAAGTGCATTTTGGATGCAACTGAAATCCTAAGTAGGACGGGGGGAGAGTGAGAGGACGAGAGAAGTTACTTATTTCGGACGAATTGAATAAACCATTAAGCTAACTAACTTTCAGCCACAAAAATCAACACTGCCACGTGCATCTCAGTAGCCAGTTCCTTACCACACCAGGGTAAGGGCAAGATGTTAAATTACTGAGAATGACATCTGCATTTCCATCTATACCTCTGTATATGCCTACTTTGCAGTGCAGCCCCGTGGCTCTGGCGGGACCCTCTGGCTGATGGCAGCCCCCAGCCGCACCGAGCCGCCCTGGCAGCGAGCACCACCAGCAGCAGCGGGGCACGGAGGTTCCCTCCAGTGCCAGCACATGGCCTGGACACTAACAAGCTTCCTTCAAGTGCTGGGAAGAGACCACAGGAGCTGCGTGACAGCTGCTGGTACAGAGTGTGCGTAAGCCCACAGGTATCCATGTCAGGCTGGGGTCTTTTTCTTAACTAACACTGTTTTTTTTCATTGAGAAAGGAGTTAAGGAATATAAAGCCTCATGTCTGAAAAATAAGAAGCCCACCTAAAGAAAGCATTTAATAATCTGACAAAAAAATTTTATAAAAATGTTACGATTTAAGTAAGTGGATAATAGTAAAAACAAAATTGGCAACTTTTCTGAATCATAAAATATTTAATAAGGTATATTTTTGGGGGGGGATATATTGTATATAAAATTTCAGATCACAATATGAAGCGATTTGAACCCTCTCCAAGCTAGCACTGCCTTCAATGCCATGTAGATGTATTGTCACTGATACAAGACCTACTAAAAGCATACAGTTTAACTAATACAGAAGTGGCTTTTTTATATGAAATATTTTTTACACAGCTAGAGTGTCTTGAATACCCTCTTTAAGTGCAAAAAACACAGATCACTTTACACTAATGCAGCAACAATGCATTCATATTGTTCTCATTAGTCATTAGTAGTCAACTTGCATAAGATACAAGAAAAGCACAATGAAGCTCACAAAAATAGACTAAAAATCAGCCTGTTCTTGCAAAAAAATACAGCATAATAGAAGAAAAAGACAAAAAAGGATTATGCACACCACAGAATTCGCTGTTCTTTAATCCAGCTGGCTTAAGTGCTGTTTCTGGGTTTTTTGCTGTTTATCATGGATTTTTGTTTTGGTTTGGGTTTTTTTTTTTGTAAATCAAACCACATGGACCAGGCACAACTAATATTCAGGAGGCAGTGTGTAGCTAAAACTTCACTAACTTTTTGTCATCCCCACAATTTATTTTCCTCTGTCCTGAGGTAGTTACAAAAAAATAAATCATAAATGAAGCATCAGCTAGGCCAGTAAGAGCTGAGGCTTTTCTTTTTTTTTTTTTTTTTTCTTTTCTTTAAAAACTATTTGTTAACTGGCCAAAACTACCCTTGATGTTAAAAGACAGCTGAGAATTAGAGTTCTCACTACACCAAAAAGATGGCCATGAGGGGAAGAGGGTTAGCTGCTTCAGAATGTGACAATATATTGAGTCCCATCAAGCTGGCTGGTCCACTGTTGAATTTCTCATGTTTATTCTCCTTTACTGTCTATAAAGTCACTGGGAGAAGTACAGAAGGGTCTGAGCACATCATCGTCCTTTACTGTAACCAGGAAAGAACTGGTCCAGTAGAGTCTGCAGTATCTTGTTGGGAACCATGGTGTAGCTCTTTCCCAGGTCATAGCGGCAGGCAGGGCAGGTGAAGACTTCAGCTCTGAAGGAGCGCTGTAAACAGCTCTAGGACATACAAAGACAGAGGAATAAATTGTGAGAACTTTGTTTTAGGCTGACAGCTTAACCAGAAAAAAACCTAAGGAATCACTATAAACCAATCTGCTGTACTACCAGGAAAAAAGACATCGTTACCAAGCCCTCTGGCATCCAGCTCTGCCTCGATGACTAAAATGTCCTAAACAAACAAACGGCTCTGGGCTGGGGTGTGAAACATGGAGCTTGGGAGGAGTAAAAACAAATCACTACTGAGATATCCCCTTCATTTCCACTAGTGCCTTCTTGTGAATCACAGCCATGTCTGCAGCTGCCTTCTAGCTTCACACTTAAATTGCTACAGTTTTCCAAACCTACATTTCAAGAGGAAGGTGAGTATACCAGGTACAGTGTTTAGGTAACAATCTTCCATCTACTTCATTGGATGAGAGTCAGTTAAGCCTTAAAGACGTGTAGAATAATATGGTCTCTAACACAATCACATCAGGGCTGCCCTCCTCACTATGCTACCACAGGCTGTAGACAGCCCAGGCATGTGAGCTGAATATCAGAAATTTTCAGGGCAGATCTGTACCCTACCAGCAATAGTAGCTTACTATCAAACTACTCCTTACAACTTTAACTGGATGTTATTTTTTATTCACAAATATGTGCTGACATCTTCAAATTCTGTGCTTTCAGAGTTTGTTGCCATTCAGCTTTCTCCTCTCCATGGTCTTCCAATTTCCATAATTCTATGTATTAACCCCTTCATAATTCTTTTAATGTTTTTTTAAGGAGCCATAATCATTCTATGTGTGCAGGCCATCCATAACAACACAGTGACTTTTACTGGAGTGACACATATCTTCTTGAACAGTGAACCTGCATTATCAGACATTGTACTAGGATGATAATTGTCTGAGCCCTTTTAGAATCTTAGGCAGAAATACTAGGTATGGCAGGCATGGTTCAAATATGCACAATTCAGCTCATGATACTTTACAGACTCATGCTACAAAAATTCAATTTAGTACAAACTGGATTCCCAACTCCTTACATTATAACTAACTGATCAAGATTTTAAGATACGTGAGTTATAAATTGACTTCTGGGCCCTCCTACCAAACAAAAACAATGCCAATAATAACAACATAACTTACTCCAGATAATTTTCTTGTATTTATCCTGCATCCTTTCAACAACTGTTAATAAGAATCTTACACAATTGTAAAAATCTGGCTTTTAATTATTGTTACTGTACCAACATCTAGCTACTGGACCAAACCAAGTGCTAGTGTAACTCCACTGATCTCAAAGAAACAACAGGAATGGTAACATTCACTCATTATATCTATCAGGAACTACACTAAACGTACTTCCACTCTTTATTACATAAAATTAATGTTACACAGCAATTACTGTATGCAAACTTGTATGTTTTTGCTCAGAATGTTAGGCAATATTGTCTTGCTAAAATACATATGGCTTTGGTGACTGGTGTGTCAGAGCCAAAAAAACAGCCCATAGCAAGACCAAGATTATTCTTACTTTACAGACGTTGTGGAGGCACTCTGTTGTCACCGGCTGGTAAACCAGCTCCTGGCAGCAGACACACATAAAGGATTGTTCCAGTTTCTTCAGAAAATTCTAGTGTAGGGCAAAGGAATAAAAAAGACAAAATCTATTACAGTTCTTGTAAATGCCACTTATTATAGAAAGATGATAAACTTCCATAAGTTCTTAAGTCCTCCATATCCATGGGTGCAGCTTTTTAAAAGCAATCAGAAAGCACATCCATTACTGCTTAATTTCCCTGCTCTTCCACAAATCAGAGAACAAATAATTTAGAGATTATTTACTTGTTTGTATGATTATTGTTATAAACAAAATGAAAGAGACTGGAGGGCCCCTCATGCCTGATTCTTAGCATAGGTCAGAAAAATTTAGTAACTGTGTTTAGTAACTGCTGCTAGAAATTTGCATGTCCCCGCTTCTCTGCCAAGGGAACTTACTCTGCTAAGAAAGCCACTTCTGCACCTTCTCCTGTGCTTATGGATTGTAGGTACCTTAACGGTTTCTTCTCTCATCAGGCCAATTCTCTGCAGTGTGTTAATCAACCTCCCTGGTTTTTAAATCTTCTCAGGGCATCTCTGAGGAATCTTCAAGACACATTTGTATCAGGTGCTTTACGCACACAAACATGCTTATCTCTGGCATGTCAGTGATCCCCAAATACCTCAATAATACAAGCTTGGGTATAGGGAAAAAAAGCAGATCTACAGATAAACAAAATACGTTTTTTTTTGATAATAACTTTTAAAAATACCAGACTTATCTTAAATCATATTTTATTTAGTTAAAAGGGAAGGTGGTTGTTTCGAGCAGAAACATTTATATTTTCACAGTAGTGACCCAAAGCTTCCAGTGATTCCCACTGCCTTTAGTGGCAACCAAATGGAAATTTTACCAAAATTATGGGTAGGAATCTGTAGAAAAATGACTTCTACATAACTCAAGCACTTTTAAGTTTTTTAAGTTACTGTTTTCTCCTTTTTACACACACACATTTCTATTGCCTGGTATCATGCACAATTTTAAGAACTGAAATTCATCCTAGTCATTACAGACACTTGACAGAAAATAGATAATAGTGAATAACTTCACACGGTCCCTACACAAAGAGAACTGCAGCAGCACTATAGCAAAAACTAGTACTGCAAGTGGAAAAACAGGGAGTTATAAATGCTTCTTCTGTTACAGAAGCACCATAAGTAGCTACTGGTAAATAAACTAATTATGTATGTCCATTTTTAAGTATCTATCTTCCAACCAATTGTCTGTTTTTCACTGAGTTGAGTTTTATCAAGTTATTTAACTTCTTAGTGCCTTAATTTCTTTTGCAAAACAGCTAAAATAACTATGAACGTGACATTGGTAAGACTAATTATGACCGAAAGACATAATATTTCAGGAGTCATTCCTTTTGTGGAGTTTTTTTATACTAGTGTCTACAGTCTCTTCAATCTTGAGCTATTCTTGCTATTTCTTGACATTTGGGGGGAGGAAAGCACTTTGTCTCTTAAGATTCCCTCTCTACAGAGTGGAATAATCTAGATCTGGATTAAAATATTCTCATTTCATATCAACATTTGAAGATGACAGTACTTCTATCTTCTTTAACAAAGCAAGCAACCTGTATTTTCTGTCATAAAATTATTTTCTGTCTAAACAAAAAGTAGTGACTAGAACAATCTTTCTTCATGCCTGATTTCTCACATCAGTATAGCACAAAAATACATTTATAATTCAGAGAAAACAAACTCCTTTCAAAAATTAGAAGAAAAAAATAGACACTTCTAACTTCAAAATATTTTTGAGCAAGAAAAGATCTCTGTTATGCAGATGTATACCGACCCACCAACAGTGGGGATTATTTTCTTTAAATTTAAGTCTTACAAATAAAAATAATGCTAGACACAGTTTGTATTCAGCAGAAGTTCAACAAGCAAATTAGGTTTTAAGAGAGACTCAAGATTTCTCCTAACGGTCTAAAGAAAAGGTAAACATTAAAAATTATGCATGCAGCAAACATACTGGTCCTTCCTTAAGAGAAGCAAGTACTTCATCCCACAGTTTCTGGTTCATACAGTCTTCTCTAATCAGCCATTGCTGCTCTTGGGTCAGCTGGAAAGCTTCTCCTTTCCCTCCATCTCCCATTCTCATGGCTTTGGGTGTATTAGTAGGTTCCTCTATACCTGCTTAAGATTATGACCATCAGATGCAGTAACAAGAGTGCTGGTCTGAACTAATAAAAGGGGAAAACAAAACTGTTTCTAGAAGTCTAAAACATGAATTACAGTCATAACATGCGGCAATCAAATCCCTACTCCAATGCATACTTTTCAGCATTGTTTTTGACTGCAGCACACAGTTGTATAGCTTGTTTTTCTACAGAGCTTAAGAGAAAAAAAAAAAACAACATAAAAGTAGTAAATAGGATGTTTCCTACAATACTACTAAATTACAGAACATATGCTTATCAATTTACATTAGTATTTCGAATAATTTCACACCTCCACTAAGTTTCATGCTACTGACTTAATAAAATGTAACATTACAGACTTTGCTGATGAACACTAGAAAAGTAAAAAGAAATACCATCATCAATTGTCCTTTTCTGGTTTCCATTACTCTGGCTGGTTGGCTCCTGTTTCACAGTTTGCTTTTTAACCTTGTCTTTCTTCTCCTTACTAGCCATGGCCTCCAAATAACCTTCTGGGTACTAAAATAAAAAAGCATAGATTTAAAACAAAACCCACTGGCATACAGGAATTCTCAAATATCAACAAGACTAATTTCTAAAAAACTTTAAACTCTGTGACTACATATTGAAATAAATACGTAATAATTTTTAAAACTCTACATGACAGGCTGAGAGAGTTGGGTTGTTCAGCCTGGAGAAGAGAAGGCTCCAGGGAAACCTTCTAGCAGCCTCCCAGTACTTCAAGGGGGCTCCAGGAAAGCTCGGGAGGGACTCTTTATCAGGGGGTGAAGTGATATGATGAGGGGTGACAGTTTTAAACTAAAAGAGGGTAGATTTAGATTAGATATAAGGAAGACATTATTCGCTATGAGGGGGGTGAGACGCTGGCCCAGGGTGCCCAGAGCAGCTGTGGCTGCCCCCTCCCTGGAAGGGTTCAAGGCCAGGTTGGACGGGGCTGGGAGCACCCTGGGCTGGGGGAAGGTGTCCCTGCCCATGGCAGGGGGGTTGGAACTGGATGACATTTAAGGTCCCTTCCAACCCAGACTGTTCTGTGATTCTATGGTGATGGAGAAAAAATTACATTAGTATCTAATATTCAAAAAGTATAACCAAGTCAAAGGATCTATTCCAGACTTGACTGTATTAAAAGGAACCCCATATCCATATCTATGCCCTTTCAACTATACAAATCAGTCAGGCAAAGTTGAAGATGAAGTTATGCTCTAAGATATAACATTGCCTTGCTGAGAAAACAAACAATATGTTAATTTTTTCTATTTTTCATTGATTCTGCAATGCTCAAGTCCTCGTGGGTCAAGTTTATTTTTGTGCCTGAAATATACTATCTGTACAAACTCCTCAGTCACATGAAAAGTAAAATACATACAAATGCACAGGTTTTTTGATTTCTTACAGACTCTGCTATAACAATAGTCATTTATAGAAATTCCTTCCAGCCTAAGGATCACAAAACTGAATTCCAACTCTTAATTTTCCATATACGCAAAGCAATACACTGCTAAGGCAGAAAGCTTCATCCACCATTCCTTCTGCTGTGTCATTTTTACAGGATTCTTTCAGTCTGCATATAATCTGTAGTGGTTTCTGGCAATAAATCCTGCCCCAGTCAAATACAAGAAAAAAAATGGGTCTATAATTTAACTGATTTCTATTTCTGGAATTCATTTACTGGAACTGAAAATAAAACCAACTCTCTGAGTCCTGATTCGAACCTGTACACTCAGACCCAGTTTCTTTGATCGCTCCATTCCTTCTGAAGTCCAAGGTGCAGGTTCAACATCATCTCTCCTCAGAAGATAGCGCCAAACTAAAAATCCACATTTTCCAATTTCTGGCCAATATTTCACCACCTAAAGAACAACATAAAATTACTGCCATTATTTTATCACAAGCCAAACACATGCATATAGTTATATTTTAATTGTTCAAGAGGAAATGGGAAGACTAAGTTATACATTACTATGACACAGCAGCTCTTCCCTCAGGTGCAAAATTTTTGTATTTTTGATAAATACTGTGATCTTAAAAGGCACACACCTTTATTTCAGATGCTAAGAAGTCATTAAATGCACAAAAAGCTAGGATATAGTTAGAAGGAGTGAGGAAATAATTTGATTTTCAGGAATGAATATGACTCAGTAAACACATATAAAGTAGCTTACGTATTCAACTTTATATATCCAATTTGCATTATGTTCTATTGTCACTGCTCTGAATAATTTAATTTCAATTCTTTGCAGAATAAGCTAAGGCTAAAAAGCTATCATGGAGAAAAAAGAATTATTTATTTTAAGCAATAATGAAGAATTTGCAATGTAACAATTATGAGACTTTTTAAAACAGCTGAAGAAAAATGTTACGTTGCACTCAGTAGAAATGAGAATACCTTGTAAATGCCATCGTATCTGTTGCCTTCCTCTGGGGCATATTTGCTGATTCTCCGTCCTTTTGAACTGCGCACTACTCTGACTGGCTTACCAGCTCTCCAGTTCTTAGACTCTGCTCCATTTTTGTCATCCAATGGGGCATCACAGTTAAGGGCCAATGCCCTAGAAAGAGATTTAAAATCTTCATAAACTAGTTTGCTTCGCACAACAGATTTCTGAAAATTAATGTAATTAAGTTGTATCTATTTCCCTTATCTAGTTATGTTTTGTCAAGCAGCATAGAACTTTTCAGTATATTCTTCAACAACTGCAGAACTGATGGGAGCAATGAGATCCATGCTACCATGTATGGTAAGAAAAAAAATGGGAACACAAAATATTCTGTTGTCAAAGTTCCAGATGAAAATTCAGCTGATAATGCTAAATAAAACAAAACAATACTTTTAGATTGAATATTCTTCATCTTACAAAATAAACTCTGCCTAAATAATATTGAGGGAATGAAAAGAAAATTGTAACAAAAGGCAAACTTTTCTTATTGCTATTCCCCATTAACTGCAGATTTTAAAGCTTTTTAAGAGTGTACGCAAAAGTAATGACTATGACAAAAAACACTATAAAGTACGTAGTAGCTGTCCAAAAAGCTCAAAGCAACTGAAATCTCTCACATAATACATAAATTGCCTTGGAGTAGGAGTTATATAATAATAGCTAACTCAAGGACAAGCAAACCCCTTTATCCACTAACTACATGAAAACCTTCTAGAAAAGCTGGAACAAGACAGTACGAATAACTACTAGACCACGCTGCCATAATCAACAGTATTTTTACTACTGCAGGCTGATTTGACCAGGGATTGAAAGCCCTTCAGAATCACATTCAAACCAAACCACAGATCTCAAACAGAGAAATAATATGGTTTGTAAACAGCCATGGTATGAGTATAAAACCCACATTGTACAGAACAGTAAAAGACAGGCACGCAACGCCGATGTTAAAAATTTTTCTTATATAAAAACAAAGCTTAAAAATCAAAAATGTCTGGACAAGAAAAACTAATACTGATTCAACTACATGGAATCATCATAATATTCGGTATCAAATTGCTTGATAACTTATATCTAAATCAGTAACTGAGAGCAGCACCTTGTTATACTCCCTGTGTACCAATGCCTGCAAAGCTACAAGGCAAGCTTTTTTCTCACTTGCTAAGCGCGAAGAAACGCTGAGACTAAGGGGTCCAGCTTGTAATTTTCTTTCCCAAAGCAAGTTTGCTCTATTCACTTAATATGCTTGTAAACCTGTTGCTTAAACTTACACCTCCATCTTCCTTCGCTCCTTGTTCTTGTTCACATCATGTCCCTTCTCTCATTCCCTCCCCCCATTTCTCGGCAGCCAAGTCAGGCTTTTCCCCTCTATCCCCTAAGTACCACCAAAAAGCTTGAAAGAATCCCACTCCACTCTGCTTGACAGCAGCAGATCGTATCTAAAAGCAGACCTGGCAAAGAAAAGGTCTCAATCTCAGCACCCCACAGGTGTTAAGTGCTCAGCTGCATAAGAGGTTATGCCCTTAGAAATAAAAAATTATGGAGAACTCTTTGTTTGGCAGGCTTTTGAAGGACATGAAAACACTTTAAGCAGATGTTTAATTCGTCTTTTGGAGATATATTTTAAGATTCAAGCACTTGGTTTTGATAAATCAACACCCTAATTCCTTGCTTTTCATAGAAAACTACGATGGAAGAAAGCACAACCAAAATAGGAAAGATTTCTTTTAACACAGGAAAACAAATGTGCTTTCTTCCTACTTAAATTTCATAATTGATTTAACCATTGAAGAAGAAACCTAAAAAGGAACACCCTGAATAGAAAACTTCCACCCAAGAGTTGTGACAACCTTCTCATTAAATAAAACGAGAGTCCTCTGAAGGAAACTGTGGGACAATTTCAACTGGACACATGACTACTAGATTCACCAGCATGTATTTAATTGAAGTGCATGTTTCTTTAAATCAACAAAACATAGTGCTTGATAAAATGCCTCTTAGCAGCAAGAGGCACTATTGTTTACAAAAGTAACATGTACAGGAGTGAATTAATATAGCAGAATGTTAGTTTTAAATTAAAACACTACAACCTAGCTCTTTGTTTTGGAATATTTGTTAATTTTATATTAAAAACTTACCTATTCATGTGTGTTAATGTCTGATCAAATGAATGTTCTCCAATCCTTTTATTGCCAGAAAGATCTCTACCTCCACTCCCAGTGTAAGTGAATTCATCTCCTCGATCCTGTGCAAGAAGATTATTCTTCATTTTAACACTCCAAAGTAAAGCAACTCAATTTAAAAAAAATGCGACTTCATTTGTTCAATTTACACAGAGAGAGAAAAACTATAATCCAGGGCACAGAAGGATGTGTTTTCAATTTCAGCATCACTGTCCTACAGTAGTTGTGCCAGGATAAGGCTACTGGTCTGAATGTAACATATGTACCAGAAAATTCTTATGAAAAAAAAATGCCTGCCATAAAAAAATTGAACATTTACATCTTTCAAAAATATATTTTTGGAAAAAAATAGAAAAAAATCTAGGGAAGGGAACACATTCTAGCAAGCAGTTACTTGCTCTACAGGTTTCATTGAGTTTACAAGAATATCATATTTGTAAAATACGTAATAAATACCTTGGAGGGATCACTTCAGCTTGTGCAAGGTGCTAGGTCCTAAACAAGTACAAACAGCTCTGCCTTATGTACAAGGCAGATGCTTTAGTGCAGCTCTTCTGAACTAGTAAGAGCTTAAACTCATTTAGATTTGCATTTTGTAAGCTGATACAATTCTGTAGTACATTTCCTACATAGACTATTCTTTAAATTGAAGGAAGGTTGATATCTTTTACCATGAAACATGGAAACTGTTAAAATCTACATACACATAAGTAAGCTAGTATTACTATCTTCTTTAGGAAACATGTCACAGAAATTCATATTACTCCTGGCAAATTCATGTATTTCTAGAAATATATATATTCTACAAATATATTTATTATGATACCTCTTTGGAGATGCAAATTTTGTACAAAGAATGAAACAACAGTAGAATATAAATACTTAACAGGAAAATAATGTTTACATGAATTTTTATAGCAAAAATCTGAACATACTTGTACACAGTAGTAAAATTCAGTCAATTTCTTACCACTATTAAAAGTCTGACATTATTAAGGATCCAGTGCAAGACTGTTACAGATATTTCATGACTGACAACAGCAGAAAAAGAGAAAGTTAGAAAGAGAAATGCTGGTTGAACAAGGCCACAGTTTAATTATAGAAATGATGTTTATTTTATTCTGTGTAGGGAAAACCTAACAGAAATTCAGCTGTAGTATTAAAATATTTCTTGTTCAAATTTTATCTAGACATAATATAACAAGCAAATGCTATGAAGTTAAAAAAAATACTCAGAACCTGGCAAAGACACATATAAGCTCCAGTATATCCTTTCTTAAAACAGTCTACTTACTCTGCTTAATGGATCTCTAAAAAATAACAGAAATAGAATAATGTTGTACAAGGACAATATTGGAAAAAACTTCAAAAGAATGAAAGACCAACAAGACAAGAACTATTTGTTAAGAAAGGATGCAAAATAAATTGTTTAGGATAAGGTATCACAAAATTGAGCTGTTTAATTTTTCAGTGATTGTCAAGGCAAACAAAATGCACAGATCATACAAAGATAATTGCAACAATAATATGAATAGGGATGGATTTGCTTGATGAATTAGGCCCATTCAAACAAATCTCATTTTAACTTTGAATAAGAAGCTTGTGCCAAGTTCAGAAAACCAAAAAGATGTATCTTGGAAAGTCATGAATAAAGAGAGGTTTGCATTTCATAACAAGAAGTAACTGAACACAGGTTCATGGTGTGGCAGAGTGGGGAAAACTGCTAAAGCAGTTTTTTCATGTACAAGCAGAACTAAAGTGAAACTGAAAGGTGATTTCTCCCTCTTTGTAGAGTATAATGTTGAGAAAAATATTGAAATAACGTATTTAAGAATGTAAAAAAATAGAGGAAAGATGGAACACTACAATTGTGAGCAAAATGGAAAAAATTATAAGACAAGACAGGTTCTTGACAAATAGTTTTGTTTGTCAACAATTCGGTAGAATAATCTTCATGAGAAGAACATAATGAATAGACATTTTTTGGCATAACAGACAAACATAAATCAAGGACAAATCACTATAGACTTAAGCCAAAAACACTCAAGTGAGAAGGCATAAATCCAACAGTACTCATAATTACCTACTGGAACACACTTCTGTGGAAAATAGGTTAAACATAAAAGGGCTAAACACATCAAAATTCCAATGTCTTCAGAGAAAGACTGCATGTTTCTCTGGGTGGTACTCTTCAACCACAAGCAACCAGAAGACTTGTGCTTGAAGAGACAGCATGAATATAAGGCCGGTGCATACATGCTCACATCTTGAACGGATTCCACACTTGATAGTTACATTTGCTTCTCTTTAATTATCCAAGTGTTCTATGCATAAATAGACAAAATTATATGGACTTGGGGGAAACTGGAAATCCGGGAGAAGGAAAATGGAGAAGAAATGGAACAATTATGGAGCACAATTCTTACAGGCCAAATAACAAGAAGGCATCTTTTAACAGCCCACAACCTAAGGAAGGATCATTTCTGCTTTACTTCCCAGAAGAACTACACTCACTTATTTCACATCAGATATATTAACAAAAAAAAAAAAAAAAAATGCAGGTAACACAGACATACATTTCCTAGAACTGGAGGAAAATAAAAGATCTTGCGATACACAGTGCTGATCTGTACCAGATGAAGAGAAATGGGGAGGATATCTGAACCTCTGATATGAGAGGAACTCCTAAACAAGGACAGCAAGAAAGCTTAGGAGATTAAGTGCTTGTAGAGAGAGAAAAATCTAGAATGGCAAGTGTAAGTGATGCACAGACACAGAGTCCTTAGAGTGGAATAAATGTGAACATGGATACAGCCCATGACAAGTAGAAGTGGAATGGGGATACCAGTAGTCTGGAGATCTACAGGGAGACCTACAGAACCTACTTCCAATGAGCTTCTGGTGGTTTACTTCGAAAGTGGAGTATGCCAGGAATATTCACACAGCTTAATATTTGGGATCTTTTGATGAGTAATGACTCACTAAAACAATTTCTCAATAGCTTTGAGTTCTGAGTTTATCTACAGACAATGCAGGATCTTCCTACCACCTGTAACAATGTTCAACTGATAGCCTGTATGTGACAAGTAAAGGCGGAAAGCTGGTTTTTTTCTGAAGAGGAACAGAAAGCAGAGCTTGGATACTGATACTGCTGTAAATTCTGCATTAAACACTTAAAGAAACATTTGGCAAAAGGAATTATTGAGGTATGTATGTTCTTTAAGAAACAAAGTAACTATCAAAAAATCTATTAAGAGTCTTATCTTTTCTCTTCTCTTCCTTCTTCCTAGCTTTTCCCCATTTTCTTACCTTAAAATATGTAATTCTGCCATTTCTCTTCTGCTTTCCACAGCTTCCTTGCACCAAAACTTTCGTTCAACAGCTAGTAAGACCTTTGTTATTATGTCTTCTCTTAATGCCTTCTGTATGTCTCTCTTTCTTAGTTGTTTCCATAAAGTTATTTCTTAACTGTCCTGTTTGTAAAGTTTGATGGTGTTATAGAGCAAATGAACTTCAGCCACAGTAGCATTGACCCAGTATCTCATATTGAGGCATTTGAGTGGAAGATGAGCCCAAAGCTCTAGTACACTAAAGTCAGTCAGCTTCAGACATACAACATAAGCAGATGGTCAGTTGTATTAAATCATACTTCACTATTTCAATGTTGTTACATAATCCACTGTAAGTCTAACAGAGAGATAATGGAGAGTGAAAAATTAAGATTTTCAATTCCACCTAAGCATTAGACCACATTATTTCTATGGGTTGCTTTTATGCAGCAGCTGACAAGGGCATTAGCTACTTCAAGTTACGGGAATATCAGCTATCTCAAGAGAGCACTGAGTTATTTTCTCTGTCCATTAACACCTATGCTCAAATTTCAAGGTTTGATCCTAATATACATAGAAAAATTGCATTTATCAGTTAGTAAAATACATTGTTATGAACACACACAGATTTTCTAGGTGACCTTCAACCTTCAGTCTGAACAACAAAAAAATGTATCATTGGCTTTTTTGATATAAGAAACCCCGAAATTTCATCAGTTCATCAACCCTTCAATTCATCAGTTTCACTTTAGTACAACGTGATGAATAAAGGCTAAGATTTTTATTAATATGACAGAGCAAAATATAGAACCACTAAGCCTTTTTAAATGAAGTTATTAAATCCAAGACAAATATTAACTATCAGATAATTACTTATGAAAGGATTTTCTTGCCCTGGTAGTAGGGATACCTGAAATTGAATCATGTCATCATTCATCTCCACTGAAGTCTTACAAGTCTGTTTGCATATAAGTGCTGACAGAATTGGTCTATCTGCCCAATTGTCTGATTTATTTCTGATAATTTCATGGTTTAGCACTGCAGTAAAAGGTGCCAATTCAAAAGGACTGGTTAAATTACATATTTCAGTTATAAATCAATCAAAAACCCCTTGCATCAAGTGCAGAGCTTGAATATATCATAACTGGTGTTTCTGAGTCTTCCCCACAACTGCCCTTGACAGCAAGAACCTGACAGTATCCTGGCATATTCCACCATAACATAAACCTTTAACCATTTCAGTGTTAGCCAGTCTTGATCTCTGAACAATAAATAAGACAACTTCAAATAAGCAGAAGGTGGCTGTAACTCCCAAATGAAAGCACTGGGCAATTACCACGTGCACAATTTTTTGAGGTTTTTCTTATTCCTTTTGTGTTCAGTGCCAAAATGGTGGATTACTAGACCTTTAAACTAAACATTAATATCTAAAAAATTCAGCCTACCTAATCTGGATTCATTATCTTCTGCTCCATTCAAAATCTTCTCCAACTTCAAACCAGGTTCATCAAAGATACAACACACAGAAAGCCTTTTCAGGTCAAAGACACTTCTCTCTAGTAGGAGATTACTTAGGAGATACAACAGCTTTTTGGGACAACATTTTAAAATTACAGTTATTTCTGGCTATCTGTTGGAGATCACTGTCTGATTGGTCTTCTGAGGGCAAAAATTCCTGCAATCTGTATGAGTAATTTAATAAGCCTACGATAATCCTAGTTAAAGAAAGGCAAGGAAAATCTTGCCTGTCCGGAAGATTTTTTACTATTTAATATTCATTTATCTCTACACAAGTAACTAGAATTTGTTCCTTCCATCATTTTTATTTCCTGTATTTAAATAAATGCTTAATATCATAAGAATTAACTTTTGTTAGTGTTCATGCGAAAAATCTATAAAGTCCAGAAAGAAACTCATGGTTTGACACAACAAAGATGACTGTAATTACGCTGATCCTTCAAATAAGGCAACAGATTGATGATACTCCATATATTGCACTAATATGACTAATGTCTCTTGAAAATGTATGAATTTCAGAAAGACAGTATTTCAGTATATTAGGCATTCACAAACAGAAACCAAGGCTTGTGTCCTTGACCTAAGGTACTATTCCAGACAGAATGCTTCTTGGAAAGCATTAAATATAAAAAGGAGCTAAATGGTGCTTTGCTTAGCGTTGCCAACATTAATTTCTACTTTTTAATCTGCTGTATCATTGTGTCAAATAAGTTCCTCAATGCTTCAGAAACAAGCAGATATGCAAAGTCCTGAAAATGAACTTTGGTAAAGCAGACATGAGCACTACAGACACTGATTCTACACCCCATTATAAAGGAAGCTGACAAATAGGCAGGTAAGACTACTCTGACAAATGTAGTACTAGCAGGAAAAAAATGACAAAACTTATCTATGTAACAAAATAGGGCTTTTCAGAATGTGAAGGTAATTCTGAATATAATGCAGGTACAGAGACAATGAAATTTGGAAAACAATGCACGAAAGGGGTTTTTTGGTATTAATTAGCATTTTGTATAGACTGATAGCTAACAATACAGAGTAAGAGAAAAGATGGAGAGGAGATTTGCAGAATTGGAGCTGTACTGAAAATCTGAAACAGTGGTAAGAAGTAAATATTAAAGCTACCACCATACAAATTATGTCAAGTATGTCAGTATTGGAGGTAACAATAGTGGACAATTAACACATCTGAGTGAAAAGGAAGATATCTGGTATCTATCATGTGAGGCACTCAAATTCTTCACATTACGTTGGGAGACCAAGCAGGTCCCAAACGAGTAGGGCACTTAGACCTTGGAAATGTGATGGCTTTTGAAAACAGCAGGTTTCATGTTGTCAGACATCAGGTTTTCAGCTACATACTCAATCCAGGTAACTCACAACAGAGAGACTCTCAGAGCAATGGTTGTAGTCACTTGTTATGTTGGATTCTCAGTACTATAAAACAGAGGTGGGAAAATTTGAAAGGATCTGTCCCCTTGGTAATGTAGTCAGCATGGAATGATAATTCAGAAAATTCATATAGGATACTACATCTCTTTTGTACCAGTGCTCACACTGGATTCAGATGACCCAGGTAAACCCAGCAAATCTGTTAATAAAGCAGCAGGTCATACACACATAATTAGGTAAACTGCTTGTCACAGTGGTCTTTGGATAAACCAGTTTGACATGGTGCTCTTATTGCCAGTTGATTTGGATTTAAAGCCATTTAAGTATGCAATTCACTACAGCACTGGCACTGCACCTTTGGCACTAGTGGAACTGATTAAGCACTTTCACTGTGCAAGGCACACTAAGCAGAGGTTCTGAAATGCTATAATCTCATCACAGGGCTCGGGCAAATCCAGTGAGCTAAATACTGTTTATTTTCAATTGGACTATTTCAAACAAGTAAAGTAACAGTTGTACTAACCCCTTGGAGCTGACTACCCCCATACAAGATTAATGCAAAGACACAGAATGTCTAAAATGGACAGCAAGCCATTTCATTAAGTGATTTGTGAATGCTATGCTCCAGGCACTGAATGGGTTTGGTATAAAGTATCAATGAACCTAAGCAATGAGTATATTTGCCTGGGGTCCTTTTTGAGTCATTAGATATGCTGTTCTCTTTCATACTCTCAGAATTGTTTACAAGACCATGCAAATGATCACAGCAGATATTATTCTCCAAGAGATTCTGAATGTCAGTTCAGTTTTCCTGTATGACCCTATATGTAAAAGCACTTAAAGAAGAAACAATTTTTGTTCAAATTAAACTAAGCACACCACACAATTAATTTAACATCTTTAAAACACTACATTAACCCAGCAGAAACATGGACTTTGAAACTTTTGAAAATAAACAGCAGCTTTAACTCCATATATAAAAACAGTGGTACAAAATAGGAGGGTAAAGTGAAAATTTTTCAGCTACTTGATTTGATGAACAGACAAGCCAAAATACTTTTATCGTGAACACTGTGATTGCACAATCACTGCTAATGTTCAATATCTAGTTTTAAAATGTTTGTCTATTCTGCTATAATTCATAAATCTTAAATTCCTCAAAGAATTCTCAATTTCTTCAGCTAATGTTCCTATTATGGTCACTGTTAAGAACAAGACCAGGACATCAGCAATATCAACTTATTCAAGACTCTAAAGCTAACTGTTGTAATACTGGATCTTAAATAGGTAAGGCATCACTAAAATTCAAGGTTATGCATTTACAAGAGAAAGATTAATGTGCAAACATTTTATATGCATGTAATTAAGAATGAAGTTAAGCTTCATGTGCAAAACAATTGTATCCAATGCTCATGTTGTAAACTGTGACTGTATCCCTTCTCAGACTTGAGGACAAATCCTGTACTGACAGAACTCATCGCTACTGAGCACTCCAATATATTCAGAATATCCCAACCTGAGCAAAGTTGCAGACAAGCCCAGGTCTGCAGAACTTTAAATTCCCAAAGACACAGCATAAAAATAGCATGATCTGGAAGCTAGACAGTGACCTCTGTATCCTGCAATTTTGCAGTTATTTTACCCCAATACTGAACTGTTAATTTAAAGTCACATGAAGAGCATTAAAATGGCACAAGTCAACACTGTGCATAAAGTTCATAAACATACAGTAAAACAGTCTTCCAAAATGTATTTATTTCTCAATTTTGTAAAAACTTGTACTCAAGTACCTATGTCGTACCACTAAAATTCAAGAAAGAGCCACCTCTCTTGTTCTCATAAAATAAAGTGACTAGATATGAGCAGAGGATTTTATCTTATTTTTTATTTAAAAGCATCATTTGTGGAATGAGATACTCTATGTAGGTTACTTATAAGCACAGAACTTGATTTTTCTGTGGATATTCTTATAGGAGTTTATTTTCAACCTTTTCCAAAAATCAGGAAAAACAGCAGTAAATTGGGAAATAAAATCTGGTATATGAAAGAAGAAGTGAAAAAAAAATAATTCCAAAAATGCATCTGGGAAAAAAAAAAATTGTTCCTTGTATTCTTAGAGAACTGAAAAAAAGCTGACATTCATACAAAATTTTAGGGTATCTTCTGCAATATTTCTCCCCAACTATGCCTCTTCAAAATTATATATGTCATCTAAACTATGACAGTAGGTAGGTGTCCACAAAAACTCATGATCACAACATCACATAGCTTAACTGGAAAAGGCATGTAAAGGGTCCAAATAAATTTATTAAATAATCTGAATTGAGTAATTACAGTAGCAGAAATAAGGAGACATCACTATCACCATCAAAAAATTAACAAACAAAAAAGGCGTCTGCAGCATCCCAACATAGCAGGTACCACTACTGAGCAAGTGTTCTTAGGATCCACTGGCTAAGGGCCCTAGAGCTTGGGTTGAGGTGACTCTAAGGTGTAGTAATGTATCCCCACAACAAGTACCTCCTTACATGACTTGTTCAAAAAAAGACACAGACTCATTCAGAGGAAATACTCTGCAGCAGCAGCAGCAGCCAGAAGGTGCTGTTGGCAAAGAATGCATTACATTCTGGTGTTATTTCAGATGTTTGTTTATTTCTCCAACATCTTTTTCCTTGTTAATCCATAGATTAACATCTATGCATGTTTTCAAACAATGGATTGTTTACTGCTTTATCCTTCACCGATGCATGATTCAAAGTTCCACCTGATGGAGCAGGAAGGGAGGTACCCACTGTAAACATTATTTAATTGCAGAAGACAGTTATATATTCATAAATAAATGGTCAACATCATGAGATGAAAGTTCGTCACAGTTACTGTTTTGCTTAGTAGCATAATTGCTTTCATTGCTCTACTTGAATGTTAATATCAAAGTAAATTTTTTTTCCAGCACATTTGGGGATCATAATACAATTGAGACTTTCCTAATAAATTCTGAAAGCACTCATCAGTAGGAGTCAAGAACCTTCAGAACTTCACAGAATCAAGTAACATGTACCTTTTTTTCTTCATTAAAATAAATGTATCATGTATTTAGAAACACAACAAACCCAAAGGAAGAGGCATCTGTCTTGAAAGCAATAAAAATCATTACCAAAGCAGAACATAAAACACATTATTTGCATATAATTACACTATCAGAAACAAAATTCAGATTCTGAAAGTATAGTGAAATTTAACTACTCTAAACAATGTAAAATCCATTGTAATTGATATATTTTGCTTCAGTATAAATATTAGCATAAGAATTCTTTAAGAAAGATTTCCTCACATATTTCTCCCCAGAACAAAAACCTATTCAGTTTGTTATCAGTAGTGGCTGTTTTTTTCACAGTCATATTTGCATAAGCATTAGTTTTAGGATCAACAACAAACAACTCTATCTTTACAACACTGATACATTAGAACAGCAAAACCGTTGCTTCAATAAATGACATACCACTTCATCTTCAAATCCTCCAGCTAATACAAGTGAATAAGCTCCATCATTACTGCGCCCATGGATTCCACCCACATGTGGTCTGTGAACACCTGCTTCGCTCACCTGCCAACAGAAAAAAGCCAGTTTCTCGCATTTTTTTCAAACAACCAGACATATACAATCATTTCTAACAATCGGCTTTCTGCTTAAAATATTGTACAGGGGTGTCAGTGTAAATAGTTAATGTAAGACTGCCATTAAAGGTGAGAAGTCCTCTTTTTTTTAAGGAAGAAAAGCCAAAAGTAAGGACACCCAAAAAATGGAAGGACAATGTAGGACAGTGGTGACACTGGAATATGTAAAGAAACACTTTCTTCTTTGGCAAAAATCTTCACGATTCTTTCCATAAACAGTATTTATCACTGCTATACTCCACTTGCACAGTCATTTAGAACAACCCAAAGCAAATGGAGATCTGCCAGTTTGGTAACATTTTACAGTTTTTAACTAAGGAAGATCACAGTGACCTGTGTAAAGATCATTATGTCAGGTACTATTAAGGTAACACGCTGTAAATGTGACCAATGCAGAGGAGCATTATCATACTGCCTGAGGAAACAGAAGAAGCCACTGCAACAACATACAGATCATAAGCTAGCTCTCCAACCAGGATAACTGTCTGGTAATGAATGTGCAACTAATCTGAAACCAGAGCACCTGAGAGCTGCAGCTGTACCATAAGCTGGCAACGTCATTAGAGTCTGCTGGAACATCCTCCCCACAAAAAACGAAGGTTCCCATCAGGAAACCAATTAGGATCCTTCTTCCTTCAGACCTTGATATTGCCTGTTCTTCTCATTCTGTTTCTCCCACTCAACTTTTCCCAGTCCACACTTTTAAGCAACTTCCATGGAAGTTTACATTCTTCTGCTATAGTCTTGTACTTCCATGATACAATACATGAGATCAAAGGTCCAGCTGGCCGAAAATGCTGTCTCTACCAACAGGTAAGAGATGTACATGGTATGAAAATTATGCAAGGACACAATGATACTTCCTTTGCATGATTTCTCAACATCCAGTAGTCTGTGGCTCAGCCTTCCTAAGCTATGTAAATCTCTCGGATTCATAGCATCAAAGAGAGAAAAGAGTTCACACTAGTATCACTTGTCATATGCACTAGCACCACTTTTATTCATTTTGAAGTGGACAGCTGTCCTTTGTTTTGATGACCTCTTTTTGCATTATAAAATTATGTATATTGGTCCCTAATCAATTTTTTCATACTGTACATCATTTTGTAGTCATCTACACTATACCACGTTTTCAATATTCTTCCAGAATTAAAAGTCTTTCCAGTCAAATAAAACTATACCATTCCTTTAATCATTCTGACATGTTCATAATAATATCTTTTATTTTCCTAACCCTTCCTTTCACAATAAATTAACACTTGATTTATTTTTTTTATCATTATTCAGTATTAAGATGACATATTTTCAAAACTGGCTATTAGAAGATCTCTTTCCTAAATAACAAGAAGTAGTAGATGAAATCCCATTACAAACTATATAGTTAGAACTGTTCCCCATCCCATGTTTACTTTCCAGAACAACGTGGCACTATCACTTAACTTCATCATCTATTTGCCAATTTTTCCCGACCATTTATGAGTATGCTAAATAAAAAGGCCCCACTGTTGCACTCCTTTTCTGCTGTATCAAACATCCTTCCATTCATTCCTCCCTCCCTTCTTTCATTTCCAGGTTTTATCAATTAAATTTAGCTTTCTACTAGGCGATTCACCCCAAGGATGGACTCTGGTAAGTAATTCATGCCAAAGATGCTCTTCAGATACTCTCTCCAGAAGCAATACCTAGTCAATTTCCTTCTAGGAAAAGAGAGATTGTGTCATAAAAAGCTATGCAAATCAGAAATAAAGAAACTACAGTCTCTAAATTCTCATAGATTTGCTGAGACAAACTAATTTCTCTAAGTATCCCACTCAGAATTTTAGCACATGAAATTTGTTTATCCTAACAACAGAATTCTTATTAAGTTATACTGTAAAATCAATACATTTCAACCTTCAGTACTATCAGCATCACTTCCAGTGTTAGAATCACAGTGTATTTTTTTATTTAGTCCTGGTGAAAATGGTAATTGTCAATCTACATTTATTTTACTGCCCAACTCATTCACTAATATTCTTATTTCAGCTACAGCTAATACTGAAACAACATACCTGAACTCTGAATTTCCAGGTTGTCCCAACAGGAACACCAGGTATAGGTCCATAATGATTAGAAGGAACAATAGTGCATTCCTTAGTACGACCAACACAGGCCATGCCCTGAAAATACATCAGACAAAACAAATTAGTATTATAATATTGAAGACTATTTGCAAATTCAATGCAGATACCAAGAAATCTGATCATTATAACAAACATATACTTTAAAATATGTTAACAATTGTTAAAAGAAATGTTAATTAAGTAATATGTGCTTATGGGTTTGGGGGTGGGATTGGAGGTCATTTGTTTTATTTTTACCTCTAGTCACCATAATAATTCTTCCGCTGCTTTAACTGCCAGTAGATATTGGACAAGATTAAACATTGTCTTATTTTCTGTGCAACCCAGTACTGAATTTTGTGTAGTGCATATATAAGTAGAATTATAGATGTAGCACATACATGAACAATCAGAGTAACAGCTATTTCTAAAATACACTCTACCTTGCCCCAGTCTCTCTGGCTTTCAGTACTGGCAGATGGCATCTTTGCTTTCTTTTTACTCTGTTTGAGCTTTTCTCCAGCCTTTACAACTTCATTAGAATCATTTTTGCAGGAAGGACAATACCTAAAAAAAGGTTTTAGTAAATTCTCAATTACTTCATAATAATGGCAATATATTTCTTGTAGCCAAAATAGTGTCAATTTGCTTATCTTGACTGTGTATTTCAAGCTAGCAAACATATACCAGTCTTAAGAAGCTGAGGCCTACAGCTTAAAAAAATGCACCCAACATGAACAAACACTGTCAACTTTTAAAAAAGGGCATTTCAATATATTTGAAGGTAGAGTACTAGAGACAAAATATTTAAATATTCTTTCTCAAACGATACGTGAGAGGTCCCCATGTCTCCTGTATTCTGTCTTCATTCTGTCCTCTTTCATTTATATCATGTAAAGGAAAAAATAGCTGAGATTAGAGTATGCTGCTAATCAGTACTCATGGTTTGTTTCTACATCCTGCCCACTCTACCTTTATTTTCTGCTTCTAGTGCAATAAATTTCACTGCAGACAGCTGAATGTCAAAAAAAGCCAAAGTATCACGTAATGTGTGTAAATACACACACACATGCATGCATGCACACACTAACTCACTCCACAACACTGAAGCCACTTGGAATATAGCTCTGAGACTCGTTCCAGCTAACACAAAGCCATCCTAGTAAGAAAGCAGGAGACACTAGTACGCAGTGACTACAGCGGAGAGGGAAAGGGAGTACACTGGCCCTTTTCCTGCTTCTAATAACATTTCTAACTCACTCCAGGAATGCCAAAGCAAAATCAATTCTCCATGTTTCTGGCTCCCTTGGGCTGGGTTTGGCCCATATGCCCAAAGTGGAGGAAGCCTGATCTACACTAACATTGATAAACCAGTTTAGAAAACTATCACTAGTACTATTAGCTACTGTTTTGGATTTATTTATTAACTTTTGTATGTGGATATGAATAAAGAATTAATGATTAACGCCTACAGGAACACATTTCACTATGTCAGTAAAGATGTTGAACCATTAAGACAATGAAGCTATGTAGAAAAAAAGAAATTAAAAATAATACAAGATGGCGAAATTGTCTAACAGTAAGACTTTGAAAGATACTACAGTTAAAAAGAAAAAACAAGATTATGCAAAGACAAATTAAATGAAGGAACATGATATAATGTGAATTCATATAGTGAATTAACAATGGCATTCCATGCTTCTTGATAGGGTAAACATATTACCTTAGTATTTTTTAATCCGAGTTTTATATGGAATATTAAATACTGTTTCACATATAAAGTGGCTTAATCTCCGCAAGAGAAACTTATCATCCTTTCCCAAATGGCAGGCTTAGCTCCTGCAGAGAGTTTGCCAAATTTTAGACTATAAAAATACTAAATGAAAATTTTTCTGCTTCTAAAACAAAAAACATCTGCCAAGAAGTTAAGGATCAGACAGCCATGAGTCTTTGCTAGTAGCAAGAAGAAGGGAGAACACAGACATCCTCTTTGGTAGGAGACACTGCTTTGCCCAGTGCAACTGCACTCTTAAGTATGTCCAAGCATCAGGACTGCATAGGGCTGGCATCACTAAATATCCCAAAATTGACTGTCACAAGACAGCTCCATAACAGTACCTCTCCGACCCAGTGCTGCAGCTATGTACTTACATAAATAAATCTTAAGACTCATATCGTTACACAGCAAACAAAAACAAGTTAAAAAGCTTAAAAGTAATTTATATTTTTTTTAATTAAAAGAATTAAACTTCGACTACTTGTGGAAATTTATAAATTTTTGACCAGAAATGTAAGTGGAGGGGTCTAAAGGTGCACTTAACACATGCCCTGAGGGACTCTAAAGACCATGTTGTCAGTCAATTTAATTCTTGTGTAGTTGTCTACAGAGCACCAAATCTTCTGTACAGAGGAAAACAATCCTGGAGACCTATGCAGGACAGTTATAGTGATATTATTGGAAGAGGGTAGGGAGATCCAAGCAGCAATGGCTACACCTTGAAAAAATTTCTGTTCTTCAAGCTTCCTCTGTAGCCCTCTGAAATAGAAGTAGGATAACTAACAAGAATATTTCCTAGGAAGCTTTGGAAAAAGAACGGGTGCCAGTGAAGACTAGAACACTAATACCTAATCTGAACAATCATTTGAAGCACCCAGCAGGCCAAGTTAATCTTAGCACATAAACTAAACCAAAGAGAAGCTGATGGCTGGTGAGATTTCAGTATCAGGATCCTGACGTGCCTATCAGACCTTTTGTGTATTTGAAGGTGCAGAAGAAACTAGAGAGAATAAATTGTTTCCAGGGTAAAACAAAGAATTCGGATGTTTCGTGGAAAGGGGCCACTGACTTGAAGCATATGTATTTTCTTTATCAGAAACTTTCCTGTGACTAGTAATAGAAAATAAATGGACTTTACTGTTTCTGGAGTGCTAGATTAGAGCTGGTTCTGAGAGTAAGAGGGAAGAATGGATGGACTGAACAGATGTGTACTTCGAGATGGTCTCATTGAATATTCTGATAGAAGGAAGTCAAAATAGAACTTCTCATCTGCTATATCCAAAGGTCAGGTGGAATCAGGTAAGAATAGTCCTTATGGACTGCAGTCAGTAATAAACCACTTGTGTGTTGAGAATGGTTTCCAACACATGACATCAATTCATTTATGTTGACAAGTAGTAGGAAGCAAGAATATGTCATGCACAGACCAGTCTGCCTTGACAATAAAAAACTTGGGGACAGTTAAGATGAACATGGCGTGTAATAAACACTGCCAAATAAACACTATAATCATCTTGCATATACCAGAAGTGGAAGGCATGTAGACAATATTCAAATAAATGTTATTTTTAGTTTCAATGACCCTTACATATTTCTAGAAGGTAGTGAAAATAATTTTTAGATAGTATTTCAAGCCAGTAGTTCCCCCAAAAGCACTGAATACAACTCTTCCCAGTGCAGAAATTTCATGGGGAAAAAAAAAATCAACTTCCAACAACAGTATCCCTGTGGCCATATATACATGCTGAGAAACACCTATCAATGGGAATGGTGTCAATTGCTAAATCACATATTTCATATACACAGGAGGAGTTCAGAAAAAACAGAAAGCCCCAGAAAACATGCAGACCATTAGGCACTGACCAATAAACAAACCTACTATGGCATCCACTATGGTATAGGAGATTGAGTTATTTATTTCCAGAGAATGTTAAAACTTCCAAAGCACTTACACAAATTTTTATATAATATTTAATCACAAGGTCCAAAGAGATTCCATAAAATGTACCCATAGACATCTTGGACATCTGTTAATGTCTATGTAATGGAAAACTTTATTAGAACAAAGTTCTATTTATTACTAATTTATAAAGGATTAGCATCTCAAGTAAGTCATGGGCAGGTGATAAATACGAACAGTGTAAATTGTAGAGAGCTAATAAAGACAAAAAATGGTACATAGTCCAAGATAATATAATGGGCTGCTAATGGGTCCATGCAGATTCACTTCAAAATGCAATTATTTTGATTTAACAATGCCAGTTAGCTTGGTTTTTCGGCTTGCAGAACGAGGGACAGTAGAAATGAAGAGTAGCAAGGTGGTGGTCCTTCCACAGCAAGAGAAATTAATCGAGTACAGGCAACGAGAAGACACAGGAGGGCCACAGCAGCAGTAACAGGGACAGAAGATGAAGGGAGAGAAGGGTGAGAGTAAGAGAATTCTTCAAGCTGTGAAGCCTGATCAAAATGAAAAGGCTGGGGAACAACCACTGTTGTTAAACACCATCAGATCATATAATGCCACAGAAGATCATAATGATCATAACTAATAAAATAAACATACCTGTTCTGAAACATCACAATGGTCATAATGAATAAAATGAACATACCAGTTTTGAAACTCCATAATGGTCATTAAAGCTTATTACTAATCCTTTGTGAATGATTTAAAAGAATCACCTTGACAGAAAACATAAAGCTCAGATTAAGTAGATAGATGAAAAACACAGCAGAATTTAAAAAATTCTTCAGTATTGTCTCTCATGAGGTGCAAATAACAAAAAAGGTACCACTTATAAAATGGCAATATAGGTAAGTAAATCATTGTTGTATATTTACCAGTCCTCATCTTCTGGTATCTTGCTTAAGGGAGGGTTCAGACAGTATATATGATAAGCCATATTACATTCATCACACAGGAGTTGCATGTGAGCATCCTGTTTTCCACCACACAAATAACATGAACAAAAACGGCATTCCTTATCTGGATCAGCCCTACAGTGCTTGCATTCAGGGCCACTTTTTCCTGTCAAAAACAAAGAAAAAGTCAAATGCCACGTATCTTACAAAAGTGCATTACTGTATCTACAGGAAAAGAATATTTCTGTACATGAACTACCCTCTTAAAAATGCTTTTTTTCTTACAATGAGGTATTTGCCTATGTAGGCTAATGGGATTTCTTCTGCTGTATAGACAAGCAGTAAGGAAAATGATTTATCAGCAGCTTCTCTTAATTTCTCCCCTCCTGTTCCCAACATGACACCTGCATACACTCCCTACAGATGGAGCTTTGCACAATCTCTTGTTGGAGTCTTCTTAAATATAGCCATGAAGAAATTCCAATTAGGTAACTAGTAATAGAGAAATGAAGATGAAATGACAATTTGGAACAGCTCTCTTCCCCTTAAGTTCAATTTACAGTTAGATAGAAGAAGTAGTCTGAGACCACAGACAACCCCAAATCATCAGTTGTTTCACAGCAGCACTTTACACACACTAGTCTTCTGTTTCTGTTCACTTGGAAATTTGGACCCATGAATCCCACTATGAAACAAACCCGTTAGCATTGGTTCCTCAATCCTGGAAAAAATGCTTTTATATGAGAGAAAAACATTTAGTAGCCTAATATAGGTATGAAAAAGAGGGAAGAAACACTGTATACTTATAGCAGAATTAACACTTACAGGAGAAATGTTTGAAACAAGTAGAAGGTCCAGAGAAATGAGGCAAGGCTTCAGAAGATAACTTGATCACAGCCCAAAGAATTCCAACATTAAAAGAAAAAAAATTGCATTTATATGTTCTGTGTAAATGTCATCTAGAAATGTCATGGAAGTGAATTTGAGCTTAAACTAGTCTAATACAATAATTAATTATTAATTAAGTATTTCCAAACTTCTCTGGAAACAATATTTTATCTGAAAGAAGTAATTGGCTTTGAATCAGAAAACAAGGAAGACTAGAAAGACTATTTGAGAGTTTGGAGTTGGAAGCAGGAAACTGGAGAATCTAGACACCTGAGATAATTGGGAGAACATTTTTCTTAAAGTTAAGAATGGGCCAGAAAATGCTCTTTTAAGTACCATTCTGTAAGAAAAAAATAACCTCAGGTTACATAAATTCATCTGGAATACCAATACTTGGTATAAATTTCTTGTAAATCCATAGGCAAACTATATGAGGAATTTCTGAACTGTTTGACGATGTCTACTCAAAAGGGCATCTGGGCTAGAAGAACAGTGTGATAAAGACAGACAAACTTATTCCTGTCATAAGCTTTGCCAAAAATACCTGAAAGTCATTTGTTGTAGAAAAATCAATACTGTCATTCTCTGGGACAACACCTTACTAAATATGTCCATAATGTCACAAGCAACTTCATTAATAAGGAATTTGAAAAGCAGCCCCACTACAAAAACGAAAACAAGCAACCCCTGCAAACCCCAAACCCCCTACAGCCCTTCAGAGGCAGCATGAACATCAGACTCTTTCATGGGTGCTAGTTAAGCAGACAGAATATTAGACAAAAAGAGAAAGGCACAAGCAACAAATCATAACATTTAAGAAAACACTGCCTGTTTGCATGAAAGACCTAATCCTTGGGAAAACACAAAATTTTTCTCATACTAAAGGACTGCTGTCTTTTTGATACATTTTTAGGGGAGACTAGAATTTGTCATACCCCAATAATGAAGAACTACCCCAGGTTTCTCTGACTAGCATTGGAGAGCAATACTAAAAAACAAGCTTCCATCTTCTCTCATCTTTATTTTCTGTTTTTCTTCACCACAAGTCATAGTCTAAGTTGCTGACTTCAGGAGCCGTATAGTTTATCAGTTTCTTGTATGTATGTTTGTTTGAATAACATAAGCAGTCAAACTCAATATTTCTTTCAGGAGTTGACTCTTGAATAGAAGGATGAGGTGGATCCCTCATTAAGCCAGAGGAGTTCTGGATACTTTTCAGTTTTTCCTATGCATATTGAGAAAGAAATTAATGACTAAGGGTTTGCAGAAATCCCAGCCCTTTCCTGAGGAGGAAAAATTTGCCTTCCCAACTGAACAGACTTTACATAAAATGTGATCTACATGGATAAGATATCAGTGTGAAATCTCTGTGAAGAGAACCTCCAGACTAAAAGTCTTACAAAAAAGGGGGACTGGAATGCCAAGTGTTGTGCTATATCTGCAGTCTTTCTGGAGGACCTTGGAGAATACTTTTATCTTCAAAGGTGGAAACAACTAGACTTAAGACAGGGAAAGGGATGGAGTTTTTGAGTAACAAAGAGTAAGGGGCTGCTGATGTATTAGGAGCCAGCAGGGTAACAGCTGTGAAATGCCCCAAAGTAATTAGGGCTTTTTCCTCTAAAAAGATGACACAGCTGATAGCACAACTGAAATGTCTTCACATGTAGCATGGGTAACAAACAGGAGGAATTGGAAGCAAACTGTGCAGCTGGAAAGCTGTGATACAATCACTATCACTGAAACCTGGTGAGACAAATCATGACCAGAGCGCTGCAATCAATAGGTGTGAACTGTTCAGAAGGGACAGGGGAGGAAGGAGGGGTGGACAATTTGTCCTCTAAGGATCAACTGCACAAAGCTATCTTTGAAAAACAGCAGCAAACAGGTTGAGAGATCATGGGTGAAAATTAGAGGCCAAGCCAACAAAGGAAACCTCCTGGTTAGCGTTTATTACCAGCCACTCAGCTGAGGCAAGCCTGTTGACAAAATGTTCTTACTTCCACTGCAGGAAGCATCACACTCTCAGGCTCTGATCCAGTTGGGGGACTTCAGTCACCCTGATATCTGCTGGAAAAGCGGCACAGCAAGATGCAAGCAGTCCGGGAGACTCTTAGAGAGCATCAAGGATAATTTCTTAATCAGACAGACAGCCCAACCACAGGAGAAGCATTACTGGACCCACTGCTTACCAACACAGATGAAGTAATTGGAGAGGTCAAGATCAGTGGCAGCCTGGGCTGAAGTGATCATTCCCTGGTGAAATTCACAATCTTGAGGGATGTAAGCCAAACAAATATGAAAGTTGGAACCATAAATTTTAGGAGACTGATCTTTTAGTTGTTTAAGGAATTAGTGGATGGGACTCCCTGGGAAACTGCCCTCAGGGATAAAGGAGTAGAACAGAGCTGGCAGCTCTTTAAGGACATTTTTCTTGCAGCACAACAGTTCTGAATTTCCATGTGTAAGCAATCAGGCAAGGAGTGCAGGAGACCAGCATGACTGAGTAAGGACCTCCTGGTCAAACTGAAGCATAACAAGGAAACACACAGTCTGAGGAACCAGGGACATGTATCCTGAGAAGAATATAAGGGTGCTACCTGAGTGTGTAGGGACGGGACTGGGAAAGCTAAGGCACAGTTGGAGCTCAATTTGGCAAGGGATGCAAAGAATAATAAGAATAGCTTCTACAGGTATGGTGGTCAGAAAAGGAAGATTAAAGAAAATGTATCCACCCTCTCATCCCCCTCTGCTCCCATAAATGAGACAGGAGAACTAGTGACAACTGATGTGGAGAAGGCTGAGGTATACAGCAATTTTTTTGCCAGAGTTTTTCACTCTCTCACAGTTTGCCACATCTCTCAAGTCCCTGAACTTGAAGGCAGGGACTGGTGGCATGAAGTCCCTCCCATTGAAACAGATCAGGCTCAAGACCATCTGGAACCTGAACATACACAAGTCCATGGGACCCAATGAGCTACATCCCAGGATGCTGAGGGAATTGGCTGATGTAGTTGCTAAGTTACTCTCTATCATATCTGAGAGGTCATGACAGTCACTGAAAGTCCTCAGTGACTGAAGGAAAAGGTAGTGCACCTGTTTTAAAAAAGGGTGAAAAGGAGGACCCTGGGAATTATTGATCAGTCAGCCTCACCTTTTTTTATGATGAGGGTGGTGAGGCACTGGCACAGGGTGCCCAGAGAAGCTGTGTCTGCCCCCTCCCTGGGAGGGTTCAAGGCCAGGCTGGATGGGGCTTGGAGCAACCTGATTTAGTGAAAGATACCCCTGACCACGGCAGGGGCATTGGACTAGATGATCTTTAAAGGTTCCTTCTAACTCAAACCAGTCTATATTAAGAAGTGCTAGAACACTGCAGTCTATTTTGGTTGGTTTTTTTCTAATTGTTTTGTTTTGTTTTTTTAAGAGAAAGAAATGTAAAACCTGAAGAACTTAAGAATCACTGAAGAGGGAAAATTACCAGCTGCAGAGAGAAGGTCCAGTGAGATGTATTGACTTGAAAACAGGAGGAAACGTGCAAAAAAAATGGTTATTGTACAAAGTGTCAAAGGCTAAGTGCAAATACACTTAAGAAAGCGAAAATCTCTCAGTGTACTGCTTCTACCGAAGTCCAGCCTAGAAGAATTATCTGCATATTATCCAAATGCAAGTAATCTTCTATTTCAAGATTTCTCTCCCAGGGCTCATTTGAAGATAAAGGGAACATTGTAAGAGTGCTGATGAACAAATCTGTGGATTTTCCAGCACAGCTAGGCAAAACTCATGGTCTGCCCAAGGTGTCAACACCAATTCAAGTCAGACTGAAGAAATACCATGTAACTGATATCCCCTTTGAAAAAATGTAAAAGTGAGGACAGAGCACTCCCTAAAGAAACTCATTAGTCTACTTCATCCAATAAATAACAGACAAAAAGAAACTGTGTATTTTTCTGTATCTCTTACCACCACAGGCTGGTTAGGCCTACCTTAATTTACTGCTTTTGGTTACAAAATCAGTTTCCTAGGCCAAAGGTTAACAACAATATTCCTTTCAAAAAGATGAAAAAAGGAGAAAGGTCTACATATTTTAGTTTAATGAAACAATACCTGGTGTTCCCAACTTTTCCAGTACACAAACTACAAACTGTCATTTTCATTATATGACTTCATGTTTCTGCTCTAACCATGTCATAAGTCAACTGCACTGATTATATCTGCACTATTGGTCACATGAAGACAGGTCTGTTCACCCCTACCAACACTGTAGTTTAGCTGCATATATAATTTCATATTCTCTTCTTTTGCAGGAAGAGATATGTTGATATCTAAGTCTTCCGGTTTGCATCTAAGTATTTGAAACATATTTATAAGTATGTTGCTTCTTAATTTTCTAATTATCTAATAGGTTTAGCCCTACTGTTTTCCTGGGCTGCAGAATTTAGATTTCCATTAAATAATTTGAAAATAACTACCTTACTTTTAACTGTGAGTGCTAAACACATATTAACACGTCATACACATTTTTATCTAATTTGCACATACTAGAAACCTAACTAATGTATGGCTATGCTCAAGGAGTAACAATTTTTCTGCAGAGGTAGCCTACATTGTTTAGCTGATGAAGATTATTTCTGAAGTAGACATTCTACCTTCTGTAAAGGGCATGGATAGTAGCTTTACATAGACAAAAGTAGTCTGCATTTTCTGATTGTGCTTACAACAATCTCACAGAGTATTTCAGGGCAATCAATTCTTTGAATTTCATCCGCCACCATTGTAACAAAAATCTGCAGCTTTTCATAGCACATAAGCTAAGGTAGCTGTGTGTTTACAGATATATGCATATATATTTAAACATTTTAAATACAAAATATGAATAGGGATGTAAGTACAGTCCAGAGGTAAAGGGTATACTGCTTATGGCATACAGCTCAGCTGATGTGCACTGTGCGTAAGTGAACAAAGGCAAGACACCTGACTAAAAAAATCAAAATCAAATTATTAAAAATGAGAGCAGGAACACAATGAAAGAAAACTTACACACAGGTGCAAATGTCTACACACATGGCAATATGTGAGCAGTTTAAGCGAAGAGGTTATAAATAAGGAAATAGCTGTCAAAATAGAAAGGAAAGAGCCCTACATGAAAAAAAAAAAAACAGCTTGACTTTGAAACAATAAAAGTGGCAAGCAGTGCAGGAAGTACAGAATTTCAAGGCTGCACCTCAAATGCTGTGTTCAGTTCTGGGCCCCTCACTACAAAGAGGACATTGAGGTGCTGGAGCATGTCCAGAGAAGAGCAATGAAGCTGGTGAAGGGTCTGGAGCACAAGTCCTGTGAGGAGCAGCTGAGGGAACTGGGGAAGTCTAGCCTGGAGAAAAGGAGGCTGAGGGGAAGCATTATTGCTCTCTACAGAATACCTGAAAGGAGGTTGTAGCAAGGTGGGTGTTGGTCTCTTCTCCCAAGTAACAGGCGGTAGGACAAGGGGAAATGGCCTCAAGTTGTGCCAGGGGAGGTTTAGATTGGACATTAGGAAAAATTTCTTCTCTGAAAGGGCTGTCAAGCATTGGAACAGGCTGCCCAGGGAAGGGGTTAAGGCATCAGTCCTGGAGGTATTTAAAAGATGTGTGGATGTGGTGCTCAGGGATGTGGTTTAGTGGTGGACTTGGCAGTGTTAGGTTAACAGTTGGACTCAATGATCTTAAAGGTCTTTCTCAACATAAACAATTCTATGATTTTATGATAAATTAATAATCTTGTCAGATCAAATGGTGCCACTGTAGACAGTTTTGTACAGTCAGCAATACAGTAATCATTCATTTCCTTAACACACACACATAATTTTTAAAATTAATCCACTACACAGTAGCTGCAGGTAAGAACTAAATGAACTGTAATAATTTTATATGCCCTTTAAAAAGTTTCATAAACAATATGACTTGCAAAATAAGTAAATATTTAAATGCAAAGCGGTACCTAGATTTTTTATATTTCTCACACTACAGTTTTTTTAAGTAAAAGCACATTTTAAGATAAAAACCCTTTCATATGACCAAGAAAAAAATAAAGAGAATGGATGGTTAACTTTTTTTGAGTAATTTGAGGAAAGTAAATCACAAATAATGAAAAATAATTTCTGAGTTCATTTACAGAAATTCACATTTTTATTTTTAAGAATACCACAGCAAATGGTATTTGCTCCTCTGGAAAACAGTGATTTTTTAGACAATGACAAATAAACAGCATGCAGACTAGTTATTGTGCACGGAGAGCTACATACAAAGGTCCTGAAAAATTGCCGTGGAGTTAGGAGTCTAATATATAATAATATCTAATACCTATTAGTAGAGCTGCAATCCAATCTCTCAATGTTGCTACCAGAAACACGTACCACTCCTAATTTTAATATATTTTTCAACTTAGGATAAAATGTCACACTACTTTTTAGATATCCTGCCACTAACTCGTTCCTGGGGTTGTGGGGAAGATGAGGAGGTATGGCATAGTGATTTTTTTAGAAAATCATGCAGGGCCAAATAATAATCCAAACATGAATTATCCCTTTTTTTCATGCTACAATCAGCTTTGGCCTAAAGTTCCTTTTTTTTTTTTTTTTTTTTTTTTTTTTTTTGACAAAATAACAGGGTTAAAGTGTGGCATTATAGACTGACTCTATCTTTAGCATTTATTAATTTATTTAAAGTTTAAATTACATGTTAATTGCAATAGCAGTTTTGGTCACCTGAACATCTGTTCAAGAACTTAACTTCAAATTCATTCTGCACAGTTCATTTATAGTGTTATCAGCTGCTCCCCTTTTCCCCTGCCTATAACTGATAGCACTAAGATGTTACCAGTTTCTGAGTAAGTAACAGAGCCACCTTACAGTAAGTATACTTTTAGAACAGAAATCTAAAAAGGATTCTATGTTATTACTTTCCTGAACACACAAAACAATTATTATTACCTCTGTATGCTGATCCTTCTATTTTTTTAAAGAAACATCACTCAATTTGTACGTCTATTCAAATAATTTTAAAAATCATACTTTTGAAATCTCCATCCCCAAATGTCAATGGATAGGCTCCTGGCTTTTCAATCTTGTACATTTCCTCTATAAAAAGGATCTTACAATCATTTATTGTGTCTTCTGGGCCTCTGAAAAACAAAAAGAATAAAAAGTACATTCAACTTAGTTCCTCAGACCTAGACTTGATGAAGCCTAAGCAATAAGATAAAGCTAACACCATCTTTTTTTCACCACTGATAGGATACTTTATTTCAATTCACACAAAAAATTCAATCTACTGCTGTAACTTCTAAGAAAAACACATAAAGAAAAGACTACTCCATTACCCTCGGACTACCTGTCTGCTGAGTATGTCTCTATTGACTGTCATTCATAACTTTGTAATTCTACTTCTGAAACCTCAAAATGTTTTTCTGACTGAACACAAGAGGCCAAAATTATATCCTCTCAAATACAGCATATCAAACATTATTGTAAAAGTATAGTGTCAGAAATAAGTCAGAAGCCTGAATGATATGACATAATAATAGACACTACTTGGAACCCACAGAGTAAGAAAAGCAATAGAAATCTTCAGAAGTCCTTCTAGGACTTCCAAATGCTTTGGCAACCTAAAACCCAGTCCTGCAGATATGTACAATACTTAATTATGTACTGTGAGTAGTTCTGTTAATGTCAGGTTTCAGTGCCAAATCTGTTCACCATATCTCAGTGATGAGTAACAAAAACTCCCTGACTCCACAACACTAATGCTGAAAGACTTCTAGAGAAGGATTAGGAAATATTAAATGTATAGAAAAGGTTTTAATCTGCTCTTATAATCTCTTTGTATTTACTAAAATTCTAATTCAAATGTAAACTTATCTAGGAAGAAAATGCCATAAAAACACCAGCAGTTTTAAAACACTCCCTTTTCTTCCCTCCTCAGGATGATATTGTGCCTTCTTCAACTGCCTGTTCTCCTACCATTTTCTATTTACTACCTAGTCTAGAACTAAGCAGTAATTTTTAATGTAACCCATGCTGGAAGTATTTATTACTGAACATATTCTCACTGATTTCATTGAATTGCATGTGTCATTACTGATTTCAGAATTAAGCAGTCTGACACGAGAGAAATTAATTTACCAGCTGGAGAGGTTTCTCTACACAGACCAAGTTGAAATGTTATGTTTCTTTCAAATATTGGAGTGTAGAAAGGCCTGAGAATATGTCCAAATCAAGTGAACAAGTCTTCTAATCCATATTTGTATGCTATCTGTAAGAAGCAACCACAGAGGTCACTTGAAAATCCTTTTGAAGAAAGTCAGCCAGGTGGCATATCCCTATCAGAAAGGGTCTAGGCTGCAAAACTAAATCAAACTATAGAGAGGTAGGGAAACAAGATAAATAAGGATAACCGCAGTAACAGAACACCTCCAGAAACACCGGGCTTCGGTCCAGAATCTGTTACTCCCCACTCTACCTCTTTGTCTGCTCCCACCACTTCCCTTGTACTGACCCCAGTTCTTGGACTCTGCCACATGCTGTCTTAACTAAGGCATAAAAAAAAATAAGCTGGGAAAAAAACACAGGCAACAAAACACCTTTTGGTGGCCCTGAGCACTGCAGTTTTTAAGTCTCCATGGAACTGGTGTTGAGAGGACTCTGATAGTATCTTGGTGCACTGTAATTGTCTTTTAAGTGCACCAACAGCTGTTTACTTTCACACCTGTGTTTATTTTGACCCTTTTTTTTCCTTGCAGTTTTTGAAGGGAAAACATTCCCCATTGTTGGTCATATGCATAAGCAGCAAATATTAGCAAATTTCAAAGATTTGGGATATTTCCATAGAAGATACAATGCTAAATCAACGCAAATACATCCATCAGATAAAGAACAGTTTGTTTTCCTGATCAGGAAAATCAAGTATTTCAGATAATCTTCATTTGAACCCTTGAGGGCATTACTTAAAAGCAGTTCATGCGATTGTGCATAACACCCTTCCAATTTATTTAGGTTTCCATACAGTGCAGTGAACACAGAAAGTCTGATTTTCTGCACCTCAGTCGAGATTAAGACCACAGGGTCCTACCACATAGAACACTGGACACCAGCTTCTGTTACAACAAAGTATACCTCTGACAACACAAGGTTATGGAGATACTTCCACTCTGTGAATGGCTACAGCACTTAAATTCTTTCATCTGTTACCAAATCTGCAGCTCTACTTAAGGCACAATTTCCAGGCTTGGTTTAAAGCGATCTCTTTAATGAGAAAATTGCCCCTGAAACAGATAGAAGAGCACTCCCAAGAATGACGACCCCTTTAGGAAGACTGTGGGTGCCAGTACACCTCTGCAAGGAAGTAAGAGTGGAAGCTTCTCTCTTCAGCAGTAGCATGCAAAGACACTTTGATTTATCTACAAGACATACCCATTAATTCACAGTCATGAAAGCACTGTACATTCAAATATAGAAAGGACAAATTGTAAACATCATCTCTGGCAGGAAAACCAAAGTGAACAAACACAGACTGAGCTTCTCAAAGCACCAAGGTTTCCCCACTTATTTTCTGTACCTTGGATAGTCTTTTCTTAACTGCCTTATAATTTTTGTTAGTCCTAGATTAAAGTTAAAACCAAAATAAATCTGGCACTCTTGAGTACTATAAACATAGTTATGTTAGGACCTTCCTTGGTTATACCACTGCTTGCCTGCCTATCCAGCTTGATTCCTCTAGTACTTATTTCTAACATAATTTAAAGTAGTGAATCTATTTCAAAACCAAAATACAGAATTATGCCTTCTTTAACCTAAGTAATATAAAATTTTATATTGATATTTAAAAATACATGTATTGGTTTGTATAGCTGTATGCTTACAAAGCAAAAGATAAAAAATAAAGAAGCACAAGTTAAACTTTAAGCAGATCTGTGTGGAAACGTCAAAATAGTCAGAAGTTGAATAATATGTTGGATATTAGTAAGCATACAACTACATGTGCATCTACAAAAAATCTGAAGCGTAGCTTACTAAGCAAGATAAAGTCATGTCAAGAAACAGTAGTGACAGTCTCAGTGTAGCACCTACAAACATGTCTATACCCACGTCATGGGATACAGATATTATCAAACTCCATTACACTTCAGGCAAATTTCAGCATATTTGCAGAGTGTATTTTTCCTCAATTTTTGCATTTTGCTAATCTTCCATGCACGTGTAGTCTAAACACACTATCCCTACTATAAGCAAAACCGCATCCAGGAAAAACTTGCCACATTCCTTACCCTCTCTCTACACTGCCTTACTGTTTAGAGCTGTGTCCCCCTGCCCGCCCCTCCCACACACACCCCCCCCCTGCCTTTTTACCTCTTTTTTTACTGCATTTTCTCCAGAAATTTATAAAGTAGTTGGTTGCTTAAAAAAAAAAAGCCTTTGATCACCTGTAATTCTCTGCATTTAGTCTTTAGACAAGAAAGAAGGTGGCAAAACACCATAAAGCTATACTCACAAATCTACAGACACTTGTCCTACTGCTATCCGTCTATTTAGAAAACAAGACAAATCTAGCTCAGTAGAATATTTATTAGGAGGAAATTCCACTGATGCAAATTAAACTATTAGAATGACTTTTAACCACAATGATTATCACATTGTTTCCTTGAAAGATACCATAAAAGATTTAAGTTGGTTCCATGATGTTAGTGTTCCAACAGACACCACAGGGAAAAGTTTTTGTGAAGTAATGCAGAAGCATGGATTTTAATCAACTTTGTAATAAAGTCACATGTATATTATCTCAACTTCAAAGTGATGAAGCACAACATACTTTTTTTTATATATAATTAGTTAAATAAAACAACTCCTGTACTTAATAGCAGAAAACACAGAACTCTGAAAATAAAAAAAATAAATTCAGTTACATGCAGATTAAAAGCACATTTTTCTCTCGTAGGACCACAACCCTACTGACATAAGCAACACTATTTCCGTATCAAAATGGAACTGATACAATAGATGTAATTCATCATTTCTGGGTCACAGCAGACATTCCTTCTCTTTTGGGCATCTCCTGTATTTTTCCTTTGGGATAAGGGCATTCAGAAAGTACTTTTCAGGCTAAGTTTTTCCTGAAAGATACCCAGAATTTGAACCAGAGAAAAGATTTTATTTTCTGCTATGAGTTACATAAGGAACAAGCAAATACTATCAAATAATTTTACAAAGCTGGTATGTTCCAACAAATGCCACAGCTGAAAATCCAGAACTACAGAGGAAGATCAACTACCATTGTGACAAATGATGGCTAAGTAATAAATGGTTGTGCCTTACCAAAGCTAAAAATCTCTACTCAGTTAGTTGCTCTTAAAAGACTAATTCTTCTGCCACATTACACATACAATAGCTCTAACAATGATCAGGCTACACAGTTTGTCTTGAAAATTATGTTTATCTAACAAAATTATGGTTATGTTATTCTGTCAGATATACACAAGAAATTTCACCTTTCTTCATTTCTTCACCTTACCACACTAAAAAAAGAGATTAAAAAAAAAATCTTGAGTTATACATTACGGATAGTAAATGGGACAGCATTTGTATTTAATGTAAGTACACTAAATCCTGTAAAGGAATTAAATCCTAAAACACAGCCAGACTCTTCAATGAGACAGAATTCCTAATAAAAACTTTTGTTTTAGATAGGTTAGCCATATCCAGGGAAACCTTCAACTGAAACTTTTTCTCTCTTTACTTTTTTGCCTCCACACCTCTTTTTTTTTTAACCTTAAGGCTGCAAAACACTCCAGACATACATAATCACAGCTGACTAAGTAGTATGACAACCGGGCACTATCCTGAATATTTCAAAGGTCAACTTTCAAGAAGATAAAAGCTGCTAGATGACAATTACCACACTGTGAAAATTCTTATCAATACCTGTAGTCCAAGGGATTCGGTTACAATTGCCAGATCTCTGTGGTATTTTCTGGTTTTATCACTTTACCATATCAAAATTAGAAGAAAAACATTTCAGCATGCACTAAGAGTCAAAATACAATACTGAATAAAAGCAGGAAAATTTCCTACTCAAAATGCACACAAAGTTTATATTCACACAACAAATTATAAGGAAAAGTGTCTAATG